TTCACTTAATTTATATTTCAACTCTTTTTCTCACTTGTTATTAACATATTGGTTATTTTCCTTAAATGTGAAACATTTCATTGTAGGAGTTGATCGGAGCTGGACTTTTGTTTTATATGTTTGGTGGTATAGCTGTTCTCTCTCTGTTCTTCATCTTCTTCATCGTACCAGAGACAAAGGGGCTCACTCTTGAAGAAATTGAGGCCAAATGCTTGTAGATTCCGCCGAATCTGTTATAACTGTATAGCCATCTTCTTATTAGACACAACAAGAGAGAAATCTTTGAATTTCACATATGTAGATATATGAATGCCATTTGCACAAATTAGACTTGTATGTTTCCTTCATTTTCAGAAACTTAAATAGATTGGTTACCTCTCCCTATTTTGAACTAAGGTTGTGCTCAGTTCATTTTTCATTTAATTTATAGTCAATCTCTGTTTCTAAATATCATTTCAATCTTAATATGTTTGAAATTCTTTGACGGTGGAATTCAGTCTCTACCTTTCGAGGTCTGAGTTAAATTTTTAACTTAAGAAATTTGATATAGTTGTGGTGATAAACCGAACAAAGCAAATTTACTTTTTAATTATGCAGAAATAGAACAGTGTAAAGCCCTTACGCCCTTCATTTTTGTAGATGTGAACTATCTTTTATCGCTTCGTGAGTATTGTAATTTCTTATGAATTGTCAAAACAAATTAAATTACAGTTTTTTCCTTATAATTAGACATTTTATGTTGTGGAAGTTAACTATCTTGTGGTTAAACTACTATAGAAAACAAAGAAACATGCTTACTTGGGCAACCAACATGAAGATAACCTAGGTTTAACAATGATTTTTTTTTTTAAGATTATTTCAGAAATATTTGTGAATGAATATAATTTGAGTGGAATTGAAGTTCTAATGTTTTCCTGGGGCAGTATATATTGTAGATATTATTATGTCAAAATTAAGAAGAAAATGACAATTTATTTCTAAAGATGAATCCTAAAATAATGTAAAACTTGTGCACTCTAAGTAATAAAATTATTACATTGTATAATTATGAAATCTAGAGGTAGTTAATTGTTATAAAATAAGTTGTCTGATTTCTTTTGACAAAATAGATTAAGTTGCAAAAATTTAAAATTGCAATTTTAATTAATTAACGGTTTACTTAGGAAGATATATTTACTTTTGTATTTTATAGTAACATTAAAAGAACTTTTTTTTTCTATGTTTCCAACAAAAAGGTTATTTTATTCAAAGGTACATTAATTATGTATTTTTGAGAGAAAATTAAAAGTTAAAATAAATTATACTTTATCTTATCTACAAATTTTAATAACAAAATATAAACTAATCTTTATTTAATTGAATGGTTGGTACGTTATTTTTTTTTTTTTATCCAATGTTAAAATTGATTCTTGTTATGTGATAATTATTATTTATATATTAATTTAATTAATGAGTGTATAATTTTTTATTAAAAAATAATATGATATAATCTATTTTGTGTGTTTTATATTCAATTTTTTATTAGTTGGTTAATCCATTTAGATATATATATATATATTTTTTTTCATCTTTATATCTTAATTAGATATAAAAGCTGCTTTCAAATAGTTTTTATTTGAATTGCGGTTTTAGATGGAATTAAACACCATGACTTGCTCTACGTTTGTAGATCTCTCTCGAAATGTGTTAGTTTAGGCTCATAGGCCTAAAAGATATCTCTCCATATGTGCTTGAATAGGAATCTAATAATTATTTTTTGTTACGTTTATGGGATGGGACGAAAGTACATTTTCTTTTCAAAAAATGCCTTAACCCAAAAGTAATCATTTTCAATCTTTTCAGTACTTATAATGATAGCCATCCTTTTATACTTGTTGCAAATGTCACCAAATATGTAAAAATCCTAAGAAAATTAGTATAACAACTTTAAAACTATTTTTTTTACAAGAAGTTAACTCTGAGCTCTCCTACAACACAACTTACTTGAAGAGTTAGACCAAATGCTAAAAATATTAGAGAGTATAGTCTCCTTGTGCTAAAAATATTAGAGAGTTTAACTGCATATGATTTCTCTCGTTAAAAAAATATATTATTTTTACGTTCGTAATTTCATATTACATATTAAAATTTTAATCTCCATAAACAAAGTTCTTGAAAATTTTATTTAAGCAGATTCAATCTTAAATGAAAACCTCAATCTCTATCTATATAAAGTAAAAAAATTTATATAAAACCTCACAAGTTTTTTAATTTTCTAAAAACCCTAACCTCAAATTGAAAATCCTGAGCTCTGGATTTCAATCCAAAAACCCAAAGTTGCTTCTGCAGATAACCATTTCCTTGGATCTTTTAATTTTTATCATTCATTTTCAAGTTTTTTCTTAGTAGCTTTGCCTCTTACTTTCCATTTAAATGTTCCACAAAAGTCTTGCATATCCACTAAAAGAGAGCTCATGTTTCTTTATAGATAATCTTTTTTTAAATTTTACACTCAAAAGACTGAAGAAAAAATGATATTTCTAATTTCAGTAATCTATAAGTTGCTCAAATAGTTCCTGAGACTTACTATGCTCTTTTCGTTTATTTCTTCACGACATTAATGTTTTTAAAGGTGAGAGAGAGTTTAACAACTTCTTTAAAATAAAAAACATATATATTTGAAATTAATTTGTAATATTTGCTTGAATTTCCCAACCAAATTATTATTTGCATTTTGTTTTATAATTACACCCTCCTCTCCAAATTTGGCGTCAGAACCAGGTTCTTCAATTTATCAAGTTACCAACTAACAGGCAAGATTGATACCGGACTGTTAGAATCAGGAAATCGAGATGGCAGGCTCGACTGGCGGAGGTAGCTCTTCTAATCCATCACCAGCTCCTCCGCCTCCAAAGATCCTGCTAGCGAAACCCTCCTCCGGTCCCCTTCCTGGTAAATTCGCTCGTGGCGCTGGAGAAGATGAAAATGTGCCGCATCGCTCGCGTCTTCCTCCAGTTGGTTCTCTCAATCTCCTTTCCGATTCTTGGGATTTCCACATCGATCGCTTTCTTCCTGTAACATTCTCTCTCTCGTTCGCGTCCCGTTAGATAATAATTTTTCACTTGAGTTGATAGAAATTGAACGTAAAAAACAGAACATAAGTTGATTCTGCAGTTCTTTGGGTGTTTTGTTTTTGCAGTTTCTGACCGAGAATACTGATTTCACCGTTGTTGGGATAATTGGTCCGCCTGGAGTGGGCAAGTCGACCATTATGAACGAGATTTATGGCTTTGATGGTACTTCTCCTGGTGAGTAATCTGTATAATTTTGTAAAACCAGAGATAATGCAAATGTTTTAATGTTGTGTGTGGAAGGGGTGGGACTGACTCAACGAACCCTAGCTGAAAATTAGTTAGGAAGTTGTAGAATAGTTGATTGATTGTAATTGTACAGGCTATAAGTACCTGTCGACCAAATTAATTGAGGCACTGTGGAATAAGATTGGATTTCCTCTGTTTTCGTATATCTTCCTGTTATTCTTCTTCTCTCTTTTTCGTAGTCTTCTATCTTCCTGTTATTCTTCTTCTCTCTTTTTCCTAGTCTTCTCATATCATTTATATAATTGTCGAAGGTGTCCATTATGAATGAATAATAATCTCTGAAGTTTGTGTATCATTATTTTTTTTTTTTTCTTTTAGCTTACAACGTATATTATTATTAATCGTGGAATTAGTATTTACATGCATTGCTATTGACCTGAAAGATAAACCTTATTTTGATACTTTTCAAAAAAGCCCTAGTTTGCTAATTTAACAAGAACTTTTTTTCTTTTTGAACATTAAATTTCAGGGATGTTACCACCCTTTGCAATCCAGTCAGAAGAGATCAGAGTGTCGGCAAGGCATTGTACGGTTGGCATTGAACCAAGGATTTCTGCTGAAAGGTTTATCCTTCTTGATACCCAGGTTTTGTGCATTTTGACTCCTCTTTAAACATTTAATTTCTATAGCAATCACGGAACTGAAGTTTCTCCTATTTTGAGATCAAAACTAATTTTTAAATGAGATCAGTGATGTTTTCTTATGTTCCCGAGGCACTCTTCTAGGGGTAATTATTAGCTGCTCTAAGAGTGCATCTGAGTTAGAACACGCTATAATATGATTAGTTGATTTTAAATCTTTGTGCGAAAATCATGAAGCAAAAATTTAAAAATATAAGGTCTTCTACTTCATTTGCATAAGTTTTTCCTTTTGGTGCCTTGTGATAGACTAACATCATGTTTGAAAACAACAGGTAGGGTAAAGTAATCAAATAGGACAGATAAGGTAATATATATCTGTTTTGGGGAAGGGTTGTTTACTTTGGTGTTTGGGAAGAGATTTGGTGGTAATTTGAGGAGGGTAATCTATGAAATTAGATGACTTTAATGCAAAGCTGCTTTTTTGAGTATTAATATAGATATCTGGAACTATATTAATATAGATATCTAGTATCTCAAAAATTATTATAGATGTCTAGAATCTATGTTAATGAAATAATGAATTAAATTAAATACATATCATTTTCTAGAAGATAAAATACAAGATTAATTTTGAATTGTTTCTTAGAAAATATTAATTAAGATAAAGATGAGAAGAAAACAAAGCTCATCAAGTTATAACTCTTCCTCTTCGTGGAGCTGTTAAAGATGTATTGCAGTGATAGAAAAATGAAATTGATAGAAAGGTTATCCTGAACACCAATAGAAGCTGCTACAATCAATGAAAATGGCTGCAAAAATCCTCACAACTAGGCAAAATCTTGGCCATGAAATTCATTTTTTTAACAGTGTTGAGTGTTAGTCTAGCATCTTTCAAAGAGGGTCCAATAATGGATGATTTCTGGCAGTGGATAGTGGTGGCTGGGTTGACTTTTATTAATGTTTTAATATTTTTTATCATTACAAGTAGGAAGAATAGTGAGGAAGTATTTAAGGAGGCTAAAGTAATTTTAATATAGATATCTACATTACCACCTTGGGTTGGATGCATGATGGGTGAATAAGACTTCCTACTCTTAGCTTACCCTATCCAAACCTTTTTAAGAACCAAACATTTTGTATTGATTATGGCCTTCTTACTCTACCCTAACCAATGTAACAAACGTGGCCTAAGGAGCATGAGTAAAAAACTGAAGAGCATGTTTTGAAGAGGCAAATAGTAACTAATAAAAATAGGGAAATTTTCATTTTGGTGCCTGCTTAATCTAAGGTAATCTCTAAAAAGGACACTCTTAGACTGATTTAATTTTGTTATTGCTAAATTGCGAAAGAAACTTTCTGGCCCTAAAAAATTTACACTCACACACACTCAACTCCTTCACATCCACTTCACATCATTGTTTCCATAACTCAAACATATTGTTTAATGGACATTCTCTCTTTTGTGGAGATGACTAATAGAATCTTTTTTTTTTTTCTTTGGAAATGATGTAAAGTTTCTCTTGCACTGGTGGCCACCCTTTCTGCTTTGTTTATAATAATATTCCTTTCTCTCTTAAAAAACATGTAATTTAAGTATTTGTATTTTGTTTGCAGGGAATAACTGCATTCTTATATCTCAGTTATATCAATTTGCACTTTGTACTAATGTTAGAATGTTAAACCCGTTTTTGGGCCTTCTCATTTTCCATTTTCCATATGAACTTCTGCTGATTCTGCTTGGATTTTTACTCTCTTGATTTCGCATTTTCCTGTGCATCAATTTCTCTTAAAATGTCATTCTTCTTATTTGCAGCCAGTTTTTAGTCCTTCTGTTTTAGCTGAGATTATGAGACCTGATGGATCATCCATGATTCCAGTTTTGAGTGGTGAATCTTTGTCTGCAGAGTTGGCTCATGAACTTATGGGTATCCAGGTAACCATAAATTTGGGTTTTTAGATTCATTGTTTATGTAAGACATAATGAATGTCTTCGTATCTATGTTATTACCTTTTTTTTCTTTCTCGTGGAGGCTATTTCTTTCTTTTTTCTTCCTTCTCTTTCTCTCTGTTCAACACTGCTGAAGGCACATTTTGAGAATGTCTAAAAGGTAATTTGTCTAATAAATTCCTTACATTTTGGTGGTGGTGCAAGGAATTGTTGTAGCTTGGCGTTCTACTATCATCTATTTGTCACATTCTGCTGGTGGTATCTGAAGGAGTTCATGATAATAACATGTGGCGTTTGTTGTTGACGGTAATATATTGAAATTCATTCAGATTATTTTTGTCTTCTTGCTCTGTTTTCCTGTCTTATGAGCTAACAAGATGATATTTACTATTTATTTAAGTTTTAGGTGATCATAAGAGACTAAGAAATCTAATTTTAGGATTTTTTTATTTTTTGTTGTGTATGTTATGTTTAGCTAATGCATTTCCAAACAAGAAATTTCATGACGCTCCAAGTACTGGTTGTAGTTGTGGACTGGTGGTTGCAAACCATCCTGATTAAAGTGCTACTCTATGTTGTAAGTTCGAGGCAACAAGACCTTAGAGTGAAGGAAACAAGTGCAAGTCAGAAATAATTATGATATATTCCACTAGTCTTAGATATGATTCAGGTTACAGACTTAAGGTGCTACAAGGACGAGAAAAAGTTCACTGATATGAGTTAAGCATGGAAGGATTTCATGTTTTTTTGTCTTTGTCCTTGAAAGAGAATTTTGGTTTCTCTCTTCTCCTCATTCAATTCTTCATGGCATTATGGTTGGTAGCTGTCCTGGTATTGGTACAGAGCAGGATACCATAAAATCATCTATTTTCATGTTTGGTGATCTAAAATATGGACTGGAGTCTGGACACCTCTCTTCTTTTGTTCTTTAGCATGACTTGTCCCAATCAAAACAATGGAAACAAACAAAGTTGTCCCAATGCTAGTTTTGACAAAGTTGTACTTTAGCATGACTGGTCATAGGCTTGGTCATGACCGAGCTGGTTTTGACACATTCTTAGGCTTGTACACAACATGGCATGATTTTAGGCTTTTAAGAATCTCAACATAGTGCATGGAATGGTCCCAGACTTGGCTCAATGTTGTGGTTCTTATGGACTTAGACTCGATCTAATCTAATTCACAATCTTGAATTTGGAAAAATCTTGAAGACTTTAAAATTAATTGGGCAGGGAACATAATCTTGCATCATGTCCAAGAACAACTTGTTTAATGCACGATTAGACTTGAGCACAGTCTTGTACCAGGCTTGGGCATGACATGGAATGGGCCACGGTCCTTGAACTGGCATGAGCATCACTTGACCTCAGTATAACTCAACTAGAGACACAAATTGCTGCAGGATACAATCTTGAAACGAGGCTTAGGCAGACTTGGTACCAGCGCAAGCCAAAACTTGACTGGGACACATTTCTGGGTTTGGGCTGGAGCACAACTCAGATCAAGCCAGAACTGAAGCTAAGATACAATCTACAACAAGGCTTGAGAATGATCAAGGAACTGGAGCTGTGACCCAAGCATGAATCAACCTAGGGCACTACCTAGTCTAGCATGGCCATCTCTCTCTCTCTCTCAATTATTTCCACATGAATTGATGTGGACTGAATTAGGATAATTAGCCATTCTAATATTGAAATAGATATCTTTGATGGTTTAGCATCTCTATATGGGACAGAGGTTGAATTGATCTTGGTTTGACTGAGGGAGGCTGGGGTAAGTAAAGGCAATCAGATGAGAAGTCTGGATTATTTTGCTTGAATTTCCTTGTAGACCAGATACAGAGCCCGGACTCTGACATGTTTTCATATCTTTTAGTTCCTGGAAAGTGTTATCATCCATTGTGGAATTGAACTTTGCGCTAATTTCCCTTTTTTGTCTCGTCGGATTCATTTTTTGGGTGCATTTATGTTGCTTGTTTTGAATATGATGCCGTTTCTCCCAATCTGCAGGTAGACTTACTGAAACATAGCATACCTGATCCATCTTCACCAATGCTGTCTCATCCCCAAAGCTCTAGTTTGGGGCCTGAAAAAGAAAGTAGAGATAAATTACATGTGGGTGCAGAATACATGGCCACTCCTATTTTTGTGCATACAAAGTGAGTAGACTTCTTTTTGTTAGTATCTTTTTGCTGCTGCGTATGGCTTTGCAATGATTTAGACATCAACAGGTAAATATAAGACTAGGAATTTTGCTAGGAAATATAGTAATCTGAGCTTGTTTTCATTTGGTCTGTTAGTCTTTAAAGATATGCTCTATTTCTGGTTTAGTAAAATGCAAAAGTTCTTGCTTTTCGTGTTCATTAGAAGAATTTTAAGAGGTCTCAAAGGGTTGAAACATACTGCACATGAGTGTTGTATAGTATCCTAGTGTACGATGAGCATTGGACTAAAACTAGCAGATCCTCACGTTCACTTGTCATTGATGTCTTAAATCCTTAATGTACTATATTTGGTTGCACTGCTTTTTTGGCAACTTCAACTTCAAATTGTTTTCCTGGAATGGATTGCTCGTGTTTCAACAATGAGTTCACTTAAGATTATGGTTCTACATTTTGGAATACAAGTTTGTGACCCTTCTTCTGCTGCTTTATATGTGTTTGGATGCTGAGGGAGAATGTTGGACAATCTAGATAACTTGTGTTTTTTTCTTTTCCGACTCTCTAGGCTTCATGATCAACATCTCATTCCACATAATGTTGTGCATTTGAGAAAAGCACTTGCACATTATTTTAGCTCCTCTTCATTTATGAGAGAGAAACACAGAAACATTGCAAAATGCATTACCGATGATAATGTTGACCCAACCCTGTTGAGTTCATTTATTCCTTTGAAGAACAGAGATGACTCTCCGAAAGCTCAATATGAAAGTTATATTTCTACTCTATGGAAATTACGTGATCAGGTCAGTCATCCACACTTCTCTCTCCTATCCACTATCATATTTGCACAATGGTGGTCTAGCCCTAAATATTGAAGTCTCTTCTCCTCAGGTTTTGTCCATGGCGTGCCCTTCTTTTTCAAGGACTCTTTCTGAACGGGAGTGGCTCAAAAATTCTGCCAAGATATGGGAATTGTGAAGAGTTCTCCAATCATTCAGAGTATAGTAAAATGCTCCAAACTTCTGGCATATTAGGCGGTAGCCGGCTTGTGCCATAGGATATACTGTTGGTTCTGATAGTGTTGCTGCCTAGCTTGCTTGCTCCTTGGGTCTAAAGATGTAATGCAGGAGCATTATTAGCATTTAATTTTATTTTTTTTAGTAGTTAAACCTGATTAGGAAATTATTTTTGGATTATTTATTTTTGAAGGAAAATTATTCCATATTGGGAGACATTATTTCTATTTGACACTATTCCTGCACCTTGTCAAGTTTGTTATTTTCCTTTCATTCAATTTCTAGATCTGAACTATTTGATACTTAAAATTTAGTTATAATTTACATATATTATACATAATTGAATCAAGAAAGTAAATTATCAAATTAGTTTTCAAAATTTGACATTTATTATAATTTAGTTTTTGATATTTTTTTAGTTATAATTTGATTTTTAATGTTTTTTTTCTTTGTTTTTAAACATTTAATTTTTTTAATTTCCTTATAGGAAAGGGTAAAATAATTATATTATATTTAGATATTTTTAAAAATAGATCAAAAATTATTTAAACTAATTAATTATATTAAAAAATTAATAAAACAAGTTAATAGCAATAAATTTTTATTGATTTGTTATTACTTTAATTAATTAATAAATTTTATTTTTTAAAATTACTTTTTAAACTATCTAAATATAACTTAATTATTTTAACTTTTTTTTTTTATGTCGGGGAACGAAAGAAAATTTAATATAAAAAATAAATAAATAATATTATAAACGAAATAACAATAAAAAATCATTAAGAAGTGAAAGACAATGTGTGTCAGATTTTGAACATTAATTTGGTAAGTTACTCTTGGAGCAATTAGTTTTCCATTTTTAAATTCTAAACTAGTTTGTTTTTTTTTTTTTTTTTCTTAATGGAGGAATTACAAAAATTATTTTCAAAAAAAAAAATAAAGGAATAACAAAAAATTTCATGAATTGGACATAAAATTGATTAAGAATTAAAATGTAATTTTCGTTTTTTGAATTCTCTTTATATTGTAGTTCATAAATTCTTTTCCTAGCCTGCAGAACAAACAAATGATGAGGTAGGATATTTCAAAGAGAGATATAGAGAAAGAATAATTATTAAAGAGTGGATAGCTCTCTCCCATCCTTATTCAGTTATCTATAAATAGCATGTCTCCTAACATATGTTGTCGTCAAGAGAACACAATAACTTAAAGTTTTAGTCACGATTATGTTGACTACCATAAGTGATGTTTTATTGTTGGGTCTGGCTTAGTTGTCAATTATAATACTCGAGTCTGGAATTTAGACTGTGATTAATTTTAACATTCTAAAATGTATAAAAATTTATTTTTGAAATTAATTTACCTTAATTTAATGTAGAATTATAAAAAAAAAAAAAATAAGTTATGAATGAAATTAGAAACAATTTTAAAAAAAAATAGATGAAAATTTAGGTCCGAATGGTGTTTTTAAAAGAAAATTCAGAAACTGAGGAATCATAATACAAATATAAAAAAATTTGGCCACGTAGGACCGCCTAATCAGCAGCCTCGACGAATCGGAGCGCGCCGCGTGACAAGGCACGTTGACTCAATGCCACACGGGAGGCCACGCTGGCAATTTGCATGCCCCACAATCCGACGACCAAGAAGCGATCTCACGCGCGTGGACAGTCTGGATCCGTTTTTTCCTTAGACGCGATCGAACGATCGAGATCAAACGCGATGAACGGTCCAGATTAACGCGATATGAGTATAAATATTTCGCATCACAGTGAACTCGAACTCTAGCCGCAACCCCCCTTCCCCTCCGGAGAAGAAGAACCAGATGTCGGAGAAGGGAGCCGACTGTCGCCGCACTGACGCTTCTCCGACCACCAAAAAAAGGTAAAAAATCTTCAACCCACTCGAAATTCAATTCCAAGCACCCCTGTGGCCATATTGGAGCAAAATGAACTGGGAGGGAGCCGAAAACTGCGGACAAAACCTGGTGGAGCTGCCGCAGGAAAAACCCGCAACCTCTTCCGATGAGCCCATTCCCATTTTTCGTTTCTTGCTATTTTTTCACCGTTGTGTTCATCTTTTTATTTTCTACAGGTTGACCGAAAAAGAAATTCCAGCTGTGAAGGTAAGTCGGTAGAACCGTCACACCCGAAAAACTCCACCACCAGTAGATTTTCGTTTTCTGATTTTTTTCGGCCAACTAAGACCCCCTAATGTACTTTTTCGCAGGGATATGTATAAAGTCGGCCGAAACCGACCAAAATTAGTCGAAAACGACCAAGCCGAGGCAAACCACAGCCGCGAGCAATGGTGCAGTCACCGAAGCAAAGCAGTGTCGCCGTGCCAAAATCTCAAAATTGGCCAGAAAGAATTTTTAATACCGATTTTAAATTTTTGGGATATTTTTAAGTACGTGAAGCGTGTTTAATCACCACCAGAAAATTTAAGAAACTCGATGATCGCCAGTAGGCCCAATAGAAAGTTCGATGTTTCATACACCGATTCAGGTAAGAATCTCTCACCTTATTACGTATTATAGAATTGAAGCTTAATAATCAATAATATGGTATTTTGTTAAATTTAGAAAACTTTTAAGAATAATTACAGGTCACTAATGGAGACAGAACTTGTTAGTTATTTATTTGTCATGTTTAACTGATTATTTAATTTTACAGCTTTAAATATATGATAATATATTGAAATAGTTAAATGATTCAGTTGTGCTTCCTTGATGCATATATTGCTTGTCTTGTATGATTTACGGTTGATTTGTAAAATTTGAAATTAATATGCAAATGAGAATTGCTTGTTTATGTAAATTAATAAATAGTTGTTTTACTGGATATCCTAAGAGATAGTAGACGAACTGGGTACATAAGGAACCCTATCGTGAATGATACCTCATACCGGATGGAGCATCGAGGGATTGTATTATTAGCGCTCATACTAGACGAGGTATGGGGACGGTCCGATTCACCCTCATACCAGACGGGGTATCGAAAGATGATATTTTTGACGCTCATACCGGACGGAGTATAGGGACGACCGGTTAGTTGACAAGTTTAGGTATTAAGTTCACGCGTAATGAGACATCCATATGGACCCCCAAGGATACAGTAAGCAAATAAAAAAGAAAAGTTGTTGTTCTTGCTCACTTGAATATGAGATCATAATGTTATTTAGTTATTGTCTTTATAGATCGATTTTGAAAATCTCGCAACGGTAAGTATGCAATAAATGGTTTTTCTTATGATAAATGAATTTACTTAAATTAAAAACTTCATTAGTTGTTTTTATGATATTCACCAACCTTCAGTTTCTATATCGGTGAGTAGTGTGATATTCTTATTGGGGTAGTGTATCTCACCTCCTCCCCAATTAACCATTTCAAATCAAAAAGAGCAATATTCAGATCCTGATCAGTAGGAGGGCTATGACTAGGTATCCCCCCCGAATCCTATTAAGAGTTAGTGGAGGTTAACCTCCCTACAATATTTATTCGTTATTTTCATATATTATTACGTTTTTTTTTTATGAACTACTGTGAAAATGACATTTTTGTATCCCTATTGAGCATGTTAATTTATGTGTAAGGAATGTAAACTCTAACGCTATTAGACACTTCCGCATTTAATTTTTGACATTGTTTCCATTTAAATTCTGGGTCTCTGCATCAATATTATTAATTTAGTTATTAAGTGTTATTGACTTATTATTAGGTATTCCGACTGATTAGTTGTCTTGTGTTTTATATAATTTGGTTTATCATATATTTCAGATAACTTGCCTACTAAACATTTTACTCTTGCCAACTATTGTTTTATTTACAAACATGTTAAAGCAAGTTCTAAATAGATTTAGAATATGCATACTACGACAAGATTAGACTGTTTAACCATATATATTTGGATTGAACACAATAATTACTTATGACATAATTGAAAATTCCTTTCTTATAGCAATGAGATTTTGAAATAAAATTTCATTAGCAGCAACATAAAGCATGACTTGTTTTATTGATTGGTGGATAAGTTTGTACAAATGTCTAATCAATAAACTAAAATTTTTTTGCTAAGACTTATATATATTAATTGACTATCTTAATATGTCATAATAAACCATGTACATTAGTATTAAAGATTAATATTTTTATCCTTCAAAAAATGATAATTTAAAATCTAAGAATTAAATGTGCAACAATAATTTGTATTAGTATTAGTGCCCGTAAATATATTTTATGTAAAACACGAAAATAAGACTTTATTTATGATATTCTAATTTTGTCACTTAAGTGAAGAATTTTGTAACCACCACTTATATATTTATATCATATTAACAACATAAGTAATCAACGAAATGAATTATATCTTTTATTTAAAAGTATAATATATATTACTCTAATCAAATTATTTAATAGAGATCAAGTCACGAAGCATAGCGGAGCACGTGTGCAAGGAGATAAACATAGAGTGCGAACATAAAGCATAGTATGAACCCAACACCCAGTGTGAATTGCAAGTCATGGTGTAAAAACAACTCAAGATGCACATAGACCACAGGGGTAGAATATCGTAATGTCAAATGGGTCACTCACTAGATCACGGGTCAAGACACTCAAGCAAGTTTATGCTTAAAAATGGATCAATGAAGGAGAGTTATGAAAGAAATAGATCAAATTCACGAAGTTGAATGGAGAAGCAACCCATTAAATCTTTTACAAATAATTGAGTCAAATTTTTAAACTCAAATTCATGAAGAATAAAATCTAATTAATTAATTAAGTTAGATTTATTTATTATTTTCTTATGTGTAATGCAGGACCTTATGCCACAAAGGATTATTTTTAATTAGGTGACACATAAGATTCATTGGGTTTTAGCCTTAGAAATAAATCTAACGGATATGATTGTTTTCTACTCTTTAGAGGCATCGGATCCCCTAAATAAAAGACTTTCTTCTTGTTTAATCAATAATTAGTTTCAACTTTGTCAAGATTTTCTTGTCAACTTTTTAATCAATTCCTTTTTTGTCACATCTCGACCAGCTTAGTTCGCTTTACATGCTAATTGTGACTTAAAGTTAAAAGTTTGTTTAGGTTTAAGTCTTACTACTAACTAATTACATGCGTGTAAATTCAGATTGTATCTTAATCTCGGGTTCCAAATCGTTATCAATATGTTGTTGGTGATAATTCAATTTAACTAAAAGCTATATAAGAAATAGGTTTTGTTATCATTCTGACTTTAATTTTTGTTCCATAACTTGGAGTTTTTTTATGATATATAAATAAATAATAATCATATAACACAAATTACAAATGTAGGACAAAATAAGAAGCGTAATGTTAATGCAAATACAATTGTTTATAATTTATTTTGACATTATTGTCATATCCATTGCATCCTAATGCAATTGCTTACAATGATGGAACTACTTATAACTAGTATATTACAAATAGTATTTTACCACACTCATAATGCATGGCGTGTTCGCATGATTAGATAATTATATTATTAACTTATTGAATTTTTTTTTTTTTTTTTTCAATGATTATGAAATTTTGTGAGACACGATCATGCATACACATTATAGCTATCATTTCTAATATTTCAATTTCATATTGAAAATAAATATAATTGTTAAATTTCATATAAAATTTTAAATTGCACTATACCAAAAATATAAATTCAAACTTTTTAGGACCAACAATTTTAAGTCTGAAAATTTTTAGACCATCAAAATTGACTTTTAGACCCAGTGTCATATTAAATATTACGAATTCTGTTTAGATTAAATCTGATTTCAAGTTTGCTTCTATTTGTTTGGAATCTCAATAACATTAATGGAGGGAGTTTGTAACAACTCCAACCTGAAACACTTACGAGCCAACAAGTTTTAGAAGCAGCTCAACCATTACATTCTTTCTAATTTGAATTGGACAAGATCTGAACCTACATCGCAATGTCACAAGCCATTTAATGGCAAGGATTTGTAATACTTGCATCCCATGTCAGCAGTGATGTGAGATAAAAAAATGTATATATATTCTCACCTAAAGATCTTTGAAGCACAGAGTTGGCACAGTGGATACAGCCCAACACTAGAGCCTTACAGTACTGCACATCAATCAACCTAATGTAAGTGATCTGAGTTTACACATTATTATTTTATGCTTCAACTAGGTGTGTGTGTGTGTGTGTGTGTGTGTGTGTGTGTGTGTGTGTGTGTGTGTGTCTACGCATCATACATAAATTTGATTGCTACTTTTTTAACTAGTAAATGTTGAATTGAAAATATATGTCCCAAAAAGCTAAAAAAATGAAGAGTAAAAAACAAAGTACTTCTAGTAATACTGTAAGTTCCAAATTAAAATGATGCTAACTTTATTACAATCAAGAAAATAAATCAAGTCTTGCAACTTAATCTCACTTGTACGTATATATACCTACTTCGTTATAGTATAGAAATATAAGCAACAACTTTTCTACCCTGTTATAGATTTTAATGTCTTTGTCCTAGGAATTTGTTAGTCCCACTTATTCTGAATGAAAATCTTAACCAAGTTGTTTTTCAAGTTTCAAACAAAATTTTGTTATTCCTTTTGATCGGTTACCTCATGAACTTTCAAATTCGATTCAAATAGATCTGACTGTTAACAAAATATCGGAGACACATGCATGGAAGATAATGGTATAATTTTTTGTCCGTTTAGTTTTACTTAGAAAATAATACTTTTAATTATTAAATCAATTAAAAGTATATTTTAAAAAAAAAAATCTCTATAACACACTTTACGGAATTCCTAAATAAATTCTTCCCCTCTCCCAAACAACCAAACAGGAAAAATGGATAGACTACTTGAGCCTATTACCGTGTCTCGAACAGTTGATTTTTAAAATTAGATCTTTGTTTCCAGATGAATTTCATAAAAGATCATTCACTTGTTCCAAAACATTCTAAACACATCCTAAAACAAAAATATATATCCTAGGGAAAATTGTGAGTATATGTGATTCAAGGGATGCAGAATTAGAATCAGATGAAACAAAAAGAGGAAGAAAATGTGTTTGTTAATAAATGTTATAATCTGCTGATTGGGCTTGTAAGAACCAATAACAAAAATATATTACAAACAAATTGTTATGAGAAAAAGAAAAGCAATTGGATATACCTCCATGCTTCCCCTGCTTCAACCTTATTCCATCATGGCATCCACTGCAGCAGTCTTAGAAATTTTCTTTTTACCTGTACATTCATAAACATTAAAAATAAGAA